GGTTATCTATAAAGATGAATATAGTCCGCCTACAACCTAGTAAGGGTTTAAATAATTACAATAGTGATAATTAGGAAGAGGAGGAAGATTCGGGCTAAGTAGGACCCTAATAAGACTATAGTAGAGGGAGCGCTAACTGGAGATTCAAAGGGAGGAATCTCTAGCAGTTAGGAGAGGCGAGGCTACAATATAAGAAGTACTAATTTATTTTATATTGGTAGTATAGTAAATCCTTAGACTGTACCCCTCTACGTATAGCCAATTAGATATTAGTATTTACTATAATTTATAACCGTTAGAGGGTAATAAATATAATATTCCGTAAGTATAAGGACTATTGAGCTTTCCTTATAACAATAAGGATGAGGAGGCCCCTATTGGTAGGAGAAGCAGAGTGTTACAAAGTATTAAGTGATAGCTACAATCTGACCGTTTGCTGGCTTATATAGATTTACAATTCTACGGAAGAGGAATTGCTTAATAGGCGTGGTCTAAAAATATCCCCTAATTTAATCTTAGTACCCTAGCCGGGGTGCAGCTCCATAAGGGTAGCAGTAGGTACATTATTACCGACTCGGGTAGAGCGTAGGTAATTGTATAAGGTTTATTTAGGGACTTAAATAGAGAAATCTTTCTTTTCTAATATTGTTATTCGTGCCTATTTAGCTGGGTATTTGGTTAGGAGCGGTTGTAGGGGATTTTAATCATTTTTTATATATTTAGTTGTATAGACAGTCTTTTCTGGTGCGGTGGACCGGGCTCCCCAAGGGGGAGTAGGGGGTGATGTTATAGGGCTAGCGCCCAGGATTAAAGACTCGGCTTTACCAAGTCTGCCAAGCCGGGATTGGCTGTATCAATAAGGATGCGCGCCTTCTGGTTGGTCGGATTCACATATTTGCCTAGCCCGTGCGGTCTTAGCACACTACACAAAACCTTCTCTCGACTACACCCTTCTAGTGCAGTCTTCCTTTACTCTCTTTATTAAATATAGCATTTCAACCACACACGACTGCTCGCTGTGCAATACTCTGGCAGACCAATTACAAGCAGTGCCAGCCACTCGCCCAGTCTACGTACCGTAACACAGCTAACAAAGGTTTACATTCAAGGTTGTATTACTATAACGGGTAGTCCGAGCTTTATAAAAATTATATATTTAGAAAGAGTTTAAAGAGATTATTCTTCGAGGAGCTTATTTTTGTTTTTACTATTTCTCTTTATTTTAATATAAAGGAATATATAAAAATGAAATCTGGAGTTTATATAGGAGTTTCTGCAGCCGACGGCGTTTTTGTGTAAAATAGTAATAAACCTCCTCTTACAAAAGTTCGAGGAGGGGAGACCCACCTTTCTGTGGGGCGGGTCCGCTGAAGCGTTGTCGACGGAGGTTAATGTGATAGAGACTAGTCTCTCGACCGGACGCGACCCGACACCTCAGTCGCATAACTGCTCCTACTCGCCGTCACCTTCCCTTGTTTGATAATACAGCTTGGTATTACCTAGTAGGAGGCACTTGACTTTGGTTACCTCTAAGGAGCTCAACCCGTGTAGTTGGTGTGGGTCGACGCAGGCTGTGAGTTTGGAAACAAAGCTTCTTGTATCCTCAAGCTGAACAATTGGGTTATTCCACAAGTGGTGCAAAACTAACATGCACAATTACATACTGCAGGTGAGAACTGAGGATACCTCTAAGGAGCATCGCCGCGGCATTAAGCCTTCCTACCCGTCCGCACAAAGCGCATGGTTTAGATAGACATTTGCAGCTTTGTTCGGAGGCGGCCGTCGCCTGCTCTCAGAAAGAAGAACGGCCAACACAATCGGTAAAACCCAGACGAAGATCCGACGAGGATACGAAGGTCACCGCTTTCACAATATCTCTACCCAAAAGCCTTTTCTGCTCTACCTATCTCTACATGCGGATTTTGCAACCACAAGAGTCGACGGCCAATTTGCTCTTGATGGTTGTGCGCTGATAAAATCAGATATTTAGGCGACCTAGTGTCAGAACCTTCATCTGCTGGCCGAGTTCTGCAGTCACCAGCCGTGCTTATATCGAGTGGAAACACCCACCTAGCATTTTTCCTTCATCACACAATTTCTCACTACCATGGAGAGTACCCACTCGAGGCTTCGTACCATGTTGCCGCCCATCAACTTCATTAGCATTCACTACGCCTACTTCATCATTGTTTGCTTGTTTGCCTCCCTTATCTTCTGGGGCTCTTCCAATCCGGCCCATAGTATCAGCTATGCTGATAGTCTCTTCTTGGTTGTCAGTGCCATGACTGAAACGGGACTCAACACTGTCAACCTAAGTGAGATGACAACATGGCAGCAAATCTTGCTTTTTCTTCTCATCATATTCGGCAGTGCCATCTGGGTCTCTATTTGGACCGTACTCGCCCGCAAACATGCCTTTGAGAAGCGCTTCGAGGACGTAGTCCGCGCTGAACGGCTTCGAAGGGCCAATAGATCAAGTTCAGTCAATCTTTCGCGCTTGAGGTTCATGCGGTTCCAGGGAAGACGGTCGCTGAATGTCATTCCACCACCGGCCATGACCGAAACCCTTGATTTGGTCAGCATTTCGACACCGAGTCCCGGCAAATCTAATAATCCAATCCTGGACGTTCACGCACATCACACCCACTACACTGGAACCGCAAAGCTTTCCGACAATAACACGCCGCAACGTTCGTCCACGCTTGCCCATATTGCATTCGCCGAAACACCGCATTCAAGCCCCGAGAACCACCCACCAACCGGCATCTCTACAGCAGCACAACACGGATATCTTGTGAGTCAGAACAACACGGCCCGCAGGATAGCCCCTCAAAGGCAGGAGCACATGGAAACCGAGGGGGATGCGAAGGGCGACTTCAGCGTGCGCAGTCTTTTCGCTCGCGCGGCAGGCAGAAACGCCCAGTTCCACGGCCTCTCCCGAGAGGAGCGCCGTGTGCTTGGAGGTTGCGAGTACCGCGCTCTCAGGGTTTTGGCGGTTATCGTACCGCTTTACTTTTTCCTTTGGCAGTTCATCGGCTGCATGGCGTTGGGCGCCTGGATCAACCGCCACCGCCCCGAGCCGCCCCTCAGAAATGGCGTCAACCCATGGTGGCTTGGGATCTTCAACGGCGCCTCGGCCTTTAATAATTCGGGAATGTCCCTTTTAGATCTCAATATGATACCGTTCCAGGATTCATATTATGTTCTGGTCACCATGGGATTGCTCATCCTGGCTGGAAATACTGCCTACCCTATATTCCTCCGGCTGATTCTATGGGGCATACTTCAGATACTGGACGTAGCCACTATGGAGACGGAGCTTTGCGAACTGAAAGAAACACTGCAGTTCATTCTAGATTATCCTCGCCGTGTATACACAAACCTATTCCCACAGAGACAGACCTGGTGGCTGGTTTTCATGGTTATCCTCGTCAACAGCGTCGACTGGGTCGCTTTCGAGCTCTTGAACATGGGCAACCCCGCCGTTGAGTCGCTATCAAAAGGCTCGCGGGTTGTGGATGGTCTTTTCCAAGCAGTTGGTAAGCTTCGCTCTGATGTTTCCTTGGTCTGTTAATGTTGCACAACATCAAAGTTGACCGCATGGATAGCTGTACGTTCTGGAGGCTTCTACGTGATCGCTATCCCTTCCTTGTACATTGGCGTCCAGGTCTTGTATACCATCATGATGTACATTTCGTGCTTTCCTGTGGTCATAACCCTGAGGCACACAAATGTTTATGAAGAACGCTCGCTGGGCATATACTCCGGTGACCCGATATCGCCAGACATTGAATCCGGCTTGCACGGGCGCTCTGGAGTAACAAGCCTTACTCGTCATATCAGCCACAGCGGGACGTCAGCCATCGGTCAAGTGTTTCGCCATACTTTGACTTGGCATGGGGTCGGTGTACGCACCCCTTTGACAAACTCCGCGGCTGACTCGCGCATCAGCTTCATTAGTGTAAGTTATGTCGATTTCATCCATTCAACGAAGGACTGTCCTCATAATGACTTGCCCAACAGCAACAAATCCAGGGACAACTGGCGCACGATATGTGGTGGTTGGCGGCTGCGGTCCTTGTGATCGTTACGATCGAGACAAGCAACTTCTTGGCCGATCCGGTCACTTTCAGCGTGTTCAACGTGATATTCGAAGTGGTCTCTGCTTACGGTTGCGTTGGAATTAGCGTCGGGCTCCCCAGTGCCAACTACAGTTTCGCTGGGGGATGGCATACTGCTTCAAAGATAGTTCTTTGCGCTGTTATGTTAAGGGGACGGCATAGAAACCTGCCGGTCGCGCTTGATCGAGCAGTTCGTCTACCCGGAGACGACTTACACGAAGAAGAAGAGGAGGATCACCGGCTTCGACGGAGCGTTACCATTCGTGGTGTCGAGTCTGGCGAGGGCTAGTGTTATTTTTTTCTTTTTCTTTTCATGTCAATACGATTGCTGGCGATTAATCTTTTCTCCAAAATCAATCAAAGATATCATGACCTGGCGATGCCATAGGAAAAAAATCTGTATCAATGTTCCGACTAAAATTGTCTGTACTCGGGAAAGCACTACCTATTGCTGCTTCGTTCTAGGTACCTGACGCCGTCACTCTAACACTGCTGACAGTCAACCCTAACCCCAGCTGTAAATTTGGGCGACGCAAGAGGTCTCGTGACTTGGTGGCTGCTAGCGCGACAGAGTACCTCTACATAAAGGTTACCCCGCCGAAGCGCGTCGCCCTTTGACCTCCTCGTAAGCCAAGCAGTGTACAGTGCCTCCGTGCCTACCGCCCTTCCAGTCACAGAGGTTGCACCTGCGTAGTCTTTCTGACCACTCCTTCACATTCCATCGCCGCATTGAATATCCTCCTCGAAGCAGAGTTTGTCCGCACAGCGCCGAATCCTTGGGGAGAGGAGAGAGATCATTGACCCGTCACTCCCAACCATTGAAATGCGCCATCACTGCCAGAGTCTTCGCTGCTCACTCAGCAGCACTGCGTACACACCATGACCACAACAGCACAACCAGAGACGAGTGCAACGGATACAGACGACCCTAGCGGATCCACAAAGATTGTGCCGTCTCCACAAGACCACCCCAAGGAAAACGGCGAGGATGCAGCTGCTTCACTCAAGTACAGCCTTTTGGGGCCTTCGCTGCTGAAGGCTGGCCAGGATACCGTGGACCAGCTCAAGGTGTCTGAGATCATCTACAATGCCTCCAGAGGTTCCAAATACTTCAATCGCGAGGAGGCCCGGGACAGAAGTCTTACAGCCAAAATCGACCAGATTCTTAGCAAGAAACGCGAGCTGGAGAAACTGGACCTTGGTCATGAGCTTCGAGTCGCCGGTAGCCTTATTGCACAGCTGGAGCTGTCGCGGGATCTGTCTCAATACATAGTTCATGTCGACTGTGATGCTTTTTACGCCGCCGTGGAACAACTGGATCGCCCTGAACTCAAGGACCTCCCTTTCGCGGTTGGCGGAGGGGTTCTCACCACCTGCAACTACGTCGCCCGCAAGTACGGCTGTCGCAGTGGGATGGCAGGCTTCGTGGCCAAAAAGCTCTGTCCCGAACTCATTTTACTCCCGATTAGTTTTGACAAGTACACAGCAAAGGCCGGGGAGGTGCGCGAGATCATAGCCGAGTACGACCCCAATTTCGAGAGCGCAAGCATCGACGAGGCATACCTCAACATTACCGATTATTGTACTCGACATGCCATGGCTCCGGCCGACGCCGTGGCCAAAATGCGGAGCGATATCCACGAAAGAACGAGCATCACTGTTTCTGCGGGCATCGCTGCAAATACAAGGCTCGCCAAGATCTGCTCCAATATGAACAAACCTAATGGGCAATACGTTTTGCCCAGCGAACGTGGTGCTATCTTGGAGTTTATGCGAGACCTTCCTTGTCGCAAGGTGAATGGTATAGGTCGCGTATTTGAGCGCGAGCTTGCGGCATTAGGGATTCATACACTTGGGGACATTTACTCCAATAGGCAGTATCTTCGCAACCTTTTTGGAGAGAAGGCCTCTGAGTTCCTCGTTCACTGTTTTCTAGGCTTAGGTCGCACGTGCGTAAAGCCAGCAGAAACATATGAGCGCAAGAGCGTCGGCACAGAGAGTACTTTTCGTGTCATGAGTGACCCGACAGAGCTCCGAAACAAGCTGCGTCGGACGTCGGAGGATCTCGAACAAGATCTCCGCCGGGCCGAATGCAAGGGCCGAACTTTGTGTCTCAAGGTGAAGCTTCACACGTTCGAAGTCCTCACCCGCCAGACTGTTCTGCCCCGGGCTGTACACCTTGCCACGGATCTGTACAGCCACGCGCTTCCGATGCTTACGAAACTAGAGCAGGAAATCCCAGGCATGAAGTTACGATTGATGGGGCTAAGGTGTACGAATCTCGCTACTACGAAGAAACCAAACTCAATGGCCTTTTTTGGTTTGAAGTCGCGGGGTAATAGATCGGAAGGTCATGAGACCACTTCCGCGAAGAAAACGACAAACTTGGATGGCGGTAAATGGGAGACACAGCCCGTGGGAATATCAGCTGTATTATCAGGAGAGCAAAGAGCCCAGGGCACAAGAGAAACAAAACTAACGGGGCGGAACTCACCCAGCCAATTTGCTTCCCACAGTGATGGGGATGAGATCACGCCTCATTCGCGACAGTATGATGGAGAGCCGCTTTTTGCAGAGCCAGAGTGGTGGAACTGCCCAATTTGCAACAGGCTGCAGGTGGCGGAAGAAAGGCGTTTCAACGACCACATTGACCTATGTCTCTCGCGGCAAGCAATCCGCGATACCATACAGAAGGAAGCTGTCATGCCGTCTCAAGAGCCCAAAACTTCAAAGATGGAACACAAGAAGCCAAAAGAGAGAAAGAGAGGACGACATGCTACTACACTTGACCCGAAGCAGAAAAGGCTCTGTTTTGGATGATTACTCTGTCTGAACCGATTTACCAGAGCAGAGTAGGATTGGTTGGTAGTGAGAAAAAAAAGAAAAAAACAGATTCTCGGAAACGAAATTCGCCGCGCAAGAAGATGAAAAGGGCTTTTGAAATGCATGACCGCTATCCTTTTAGCACTGCTATGTCATTCCTCTGTCGATCTTATGTTAATGCGTGCGTGTATAACATAACATGGTTGGTATATTACATTACTCATAACTTTGTGGAATTGATGGGATATTCATCTCGAAGACCAGTCAGTCCTCTTCCATGAATCGTTGCATCTCACCCGTCCACCACGCGCCGCCTTCGCACCGAGCTCAACTCGCCTAATAGCTACCCAATCCCTAACGCTCTTCATCAGCAGTCTGCAGTTCAGCCCTCACGAATATGCCAACGAACTGATACACATGGTGCAGCGCACAAAGCGACAATGGTGGAGAGCGTGACAAATCGTATTTTTTTCCGTTGAAGCCATGTGGAAGGCCTCACGCTCGTCGGTATGCCTGATCAAGGAGTGAGCCGGAAGTGTACGCAAAGCGTTGACCGACTACTCCGTCAAGGGCAAATTGGGCAATTCGGGGCCAAATAGTGTTGGAACAATTGCATAAGCTATTTGGTCCTGACAAACGATTCGACCTGGAAACGGCCCTCACTGGGCTAGCGAAAGCTATGGGAGGCGGGCCGAGGGATGTACATGAATGATTTAGATAAATTTGGTCTCTAGCATGTAGACTTAGCACGTCGTTGGACTGGCAGAGCCGCGTTCATGACATACTGCGGGCTTAGGAGCGCGAGGGCGGGTGCGTATACGGTTCGTATTGAGGTGAAATAAAGAAAATGGACAGAACACCCGAAAGCCTCGACAGGTTTGATTTTGGGTATAAACCTGTCTGTTGCCAGGTTGCGTGTTGCAATGCTTAATTTCGAACCCTTCAATTTGACAAACCTGATCACCTTGACCGGCTCGAATGGGATTTTCGAGTTCAAGAGAGTTCAATGAAGTTCCGTGAAGTTTCACCACTAACCGCGGCTGTCGATGTGTGCTGCGAAAGTACCTAGAGGTAACTGCTGGGAAGACTTTCAAGGCTGTACTGTAGTACAGTCCCTACTTCCACAAGCCTTGCGGCTGAACAATCAAAATTCCAATAACGGCAACCGAACCGGGCAGTAGTACCTATCTTCAGAATCAAACTCTGTCGACCACAGGGTTTCCTTGTTTACATATAGGGGGGTTGTTTGAAATGGCGGTTGCAAGTGTTGGGTCTATTACCGCAACCCCAACCCTGCCGAGACTCGTTGTTACCTAAATTGGACATCACTCATTCATCGATCGCGGCGGGTCGCATAGCGTGGCTTCAGTTTGACTTCCTGCTTCAACTGCAGTTCTCCAAACAACTTACAACGCTACATTCCAAGCCGACATTATTTGGAAACTAAAAGTCGGCCATTTTAGATTATATGTTTCCCGGACCTAACCTGCCCCGTGTGCCAAAGTTCAACGCTTCATCGCGACATGTTCCTCAAGCGCAAACGATCAGAGTCTGAGCTCTCCTTCAGCTCATCTTTGCCGTCTCCATCAGCTGGAACGTCCAACGAACATGGCTTCGACCTGAGCGCAATCGCTTCTGTCATTAATAGCCAGAAGTCTTTCCCCACCATCCTCTCACCCACGACATCCCATCTCCACAGCCGCACCATGAAACGGTACCGCAACAACCGGCCTTCTGAGGCAGAAGTCCATCGTACGTCTGCCCAGTTCTCCTCTCCCTCCATCCGTCACGGGACCAACGCTTACTCGATTCGGTGCCAGAACGGACCCTCAGCTTACTGTATGCCGCCCAACAGCAACAGCAACAACACCATGCCGCAAGCCCAGTCTTGAACCCCCACCATCAGCAGCAACCAAGCACTGTCAACGACGTAGGACCGTCTGTTACCCTCCAAAAGCAACCACAAGCCAACCGCGGTCAACAACGCTCGCTTCACAGCTTCTGGAACCTTCCTGCTGCCCCAGTCCCGACATGTTCCTCTCACACCTTTCCTGCAATGTTCTCGGACCCCTCCGGCAACAGTCTCCTGGATACTCCTACGAGCTGTGAGGATTGTGGGGCAGGCCCGAGTGATAACAATGGCAATAGATATGCCAAGACAGGAGGAGAAGGGGGAAAACACGACGTTGACATGCTGGATGTTTGTACCCAGGTCAGCACTGGTCGTGAACAAGGGAACGATGAGTACGACAGTAGCTTCTCGCTATGTGAAGCTTGTGGGAAGATGGTTTGTTTTAGCTGTTCGATCAGTAATTTGGGAGAACACAGGAGATGTTTGGCTTGTGCCGAGAGAAGGATCTGGGTTGGCTAAAGTGCTATCAGGGTTCCATGAGGCCATCAGCTCAGGAAGGGATGCAAAGATACCACTGTTCTGGAACTAAGTTTGGGTAAGGCGTTTTCAGGAGTCTGGATTCTAGCTGTCCATAGGCACATTAGGCGTTACTCATCTATTTATGTATTTTCTTTTTGTTTATCTACAACACACACACACACACACACACACACACACACACACACACACACACACACACATATATATATATATATATAAACTTTTTTCCAAAATTCAAAAAGAACAGTATTTTCTTCTAGCTGCTTTATTTTGTTGTGGGGCCCGGGGGCAAAAGAGGAAGGAGGAACGGGGGACAGTTTAATTTATTACACTCTATTGTTTATATCTTTGCAAGTAGATTGCTCGTTAAGTCTGGATTATGTAGCGGCACCTATCTTGCGCGGATGCTCTTAACTACAGGGTAGTAGCGATGGTCTTGATTGCTTTTAGATTTAGGAAGCGAGAGTATAATCCCAGCTGGGAAAGAACACTAATTGGGTGTAGCCGGACAATGATCAATCTACACAGTCGATCAGCTCAGTGGCAGAGCATTCGCCGGACGGCTCTAACTCCTTACGGCAGCACCATGTCGAGAGTATATAGAATAGGATATACAACACCTCCGGGCCGGACGAATAGGCTACAGTGTTACTACTCTAATTAGCATCGTGGTTACGACTTGTTCAGTCCACCAAGCGACTATTGAACCCTGGCGTATAAAAATCGAAGCCGGGAGTAAGAAATTCCAACCAACACCTAAGCATAGGTAGCTGCTCTAACATTTCCATAAAGCGACTCATACAGAATTACGACAATTACCGCAACGTCCGATGAAGTGGGCATGTTTTAAGGGCTCTAGAGCTAACACCACGGAACGGATGTAGATTTTAGAGGAGACGAGGAAGCGGAAGTCTAGAGTGGAGGGCCAGCAGAGTCAAACGAACGATATCGGCAGCTCTTGTGGGCCTATATCACAAGAACAAGGTGAACCACGAGGCGGACATGCAGATGCTATGGATGTGTGATGACTTGACTTCACACCCCGCATCTGGTGAGCTCCAGTAAAGCTAGCTGAGGTGGATACTTGTGTGTATGTCTATCCGTGTACCTTAGCGTGCCTAGCACCTTTAGCTCTCCTGAGAAGGGACCAGCGCACTTCTATTTTACAGAGGACGTCATCCTGCCGGCGATGCGGGGCACACCACTGACAAATACCTACCCATCGCCTTGCCTCCTGACGATAACATCTCCGCAACACACATTCCAGGCAACTTTGTAAATAGGGTCCGTAAAATACCTACCGCACCTTTTCGCATTGAGCTTCCCTTACTTATTGTGTATGAACGGTTTCCATATCAAACCCCTACCTCAGACCCCAAGAGGCTTGCAGACCGAAATTGAGCATGGAGGCCGCGGCGAGAGACTGGTCCAAGAGCGATGGCCACGGCGACTTCCAGAGAACGCGACCGGCTAGCCATGCTGGCTCCTGGTACCTGGGCAATGCTGCGCGGCTATCCTCCCAACTCGACGAGTTTATGAGCCGTGTGCCTAACAAGCTGGATGGAAGGGACCTCCCCATCCCAGGTGCTCGTGTGATTATTGCCCCGTCAGGCCCCCATCAATGATCCACCAGCCCGTCCGCTTCCTGCAAAAGCTAACTGGCTATCAACAGGCACGCTGGCTACTCGTACTCTGGGCCATGTGCTGCATGGGCCTACAAAATCCTAGACCTCGCAAACGTGAAGCGTGTCTTCCTCCTCGGTCCATCCCATACCTTCTACCTGAAGGGTTGCGCGCTGTCTACGTTCGGAAAGTACAGCACCCCATTTGGGGATCTAGTTGTGGATGGCAAGGCCGTTGACGAGTTGATGGAAGACCAAAAGTTCTCCCCGATCCCTGTTGAATATGACATCCGGGAGCATTGTCTGGAGATGCATCTGCCTTACCTGTGGAAGAGACTTGAGCAGACGCTCGGTAGCGACAGCAGCCAGTTCCCGCCCATCGTGCCGGTCTTAGTCGGAGACTTGTCTGCAGACGGGGAGAAGGCCGTTGGCTCACTCCTGGCCCCATATCTGGCGGACCCCAAAAACGCGTTCATCATCTCATCAGACTTTTGTCATTGGGGCAAGAACTACCACTATCGGCCCCAGTTACACAAAGGCCTCGTCCGAGACCAGGACGCGCAGTGGGCGAGTCTCAAGATCCAGCCAGGCTTCAAAACCAAAGCAGATGGAAGCGAGCCAAGAGACGCTGAGGTACCTATCCACGAAGTCATCAAGGCGCTTGATGATTTGGTGATGGACTCAATCAAGACGGGCGACCACAGCGACTACTACAGCATCCTCAAGGGAACCAACAACACGGTATGTGGCAGACACCCGATTGGAGTTGTACTGGCAGCCTTGGAGAAAATGGGAGGTGCTCAGTCCGGGGGAAGTAAGGGCAAGTTCCAGTTTGTCCAGTATCAGCGAAGTAATCTGGTTGAGAAGCAAAGCGACTTTAGTGTGAGCTATGTGTCAGCTTACTCTATCCTCTGAAGCGGGTCTGAAGACGTGATGGACCGATACAGTGAGGAGAAGTGAGTACAAGTTTAGCACGGCCCGCAAGTTGGGTTGCGTTCGACGCGAGTATGTGTATAGGGACCTACGACAGCTAGAGTTACGGTCCAGATGAAACAAAATACCCAGGAAACCAGTCAGGACAGGCTCACAAGAATATACTCGGACCATGTGTTCTGTCGATGTTGGGTCTCAAACTCTTGATTCAAACTCGGTGCAAAGTCCAAGCTACAAAACGCAGTGTATACACTACACTACCCATAAGAGTTGCCCAGATGCCTGTCGGACTTGAGCCGAGCCCCTACTCGAGCCCTGTACACTAGGTATGTACTAAAGACGGAACAGGCGGGTCCAGGCGGGCCAAGTTTGACGAATCATAGGCATCTAGGCCATGGCGGCGCAATGATCAACAGCTCCACCCAAATGTGCGTTCCTGAACACAATCCATGCAATATGCTCGGGTCCCCTGAAAAAACGTCGATGCTCGTCTCATCTTTGTGGACATTGTGCTGTAGTAGGCGTTTCGTCTCAAGGTCGTCCCTTTTTAGTCTACCGGCATATCTCAGCGTACCGACAAGAGGTTGACTGGTGGTACACGTTTTGAGGAGTTTGATGCACTACTGTCAAGTCGCATGGGGAAGAGTCGCACATTGGACTTTGATTCTGGCAAACAGCTGGATATTATAGTCGGATGGGTGTTCACCATCCACCCAGCCAGCCAGCCAACCATCCATTTACAAGAACAGTCCCTGATCCCAAACAAGCATACAGTGCGCTTCTCACAGTGTAAAGAAATGATTAACAACAACAATGCTGCCAGCACTTCCATTGCCCATTCGTGTGCTCGCCACCCACATGTACTTCACGACGTAAACGAATAGTAACGCCTGGACTGTTAGGCTACTGTGTACTTGTGCCATGTGAACAATCGTATGGGCTAGGGAGTAGGTAGCACTAGGCCCGTTTCGATCAACTCCTGAGAATCCTACGCTGCTTGGGCTCCTGTGCTCCTTCCTACACAGTACATTGCCTGGATCCTTCACTAGGCGCAGTGCTGCCCTAAAATAACCAAACCCATTTCACAGCAAGTCCGAGGTCCCGTTCTCCCTCTCCTACCAAACAGCCAATTTCCCATCCTTTAGTTTTCTTTCCTACCTAGTCATTCTCTTTATCTCGATTTCCAGTACACCATCTTTGGCATCGATTTTTTTTTGTCGGCATAAGCATTCATCAAGCATCGTCACTTTCAAGTCACATTACCCACGTATACCTTCATCTCGACATCGATCTGAATAACATCCATCTCCTGTTTAAAGCGCCTGCTTGAGCATCAGCGCCTGTGCGCGTCCGCCTTCCAAGATGAGTGTGAGTGTTTCAAAACATATTCTCCTTCTCAGAAATCCACCGTTTTGCTACAGAACAATGAATCCACCGATACGTTGCTCCGCCCCAGACAATTCGGATCTCAAGAGTGTCGGCCTCCCTCCTTCTTACCAATCTTTCTGCTTCCACTGCCATCATCTCTGAATGTATCGCTAACAATGGAAAACCATCAGTACGGGTTCGTCTACCTGACACGCCGAATAACCACGACATCACCGTGCCGTGTTGTTTACTGACATCGATTTCGGTATAGATACGGTGGAAGAGATCCTTCCTTCGACCAACGGGATGGTGCCGCTGGTGCTTATTCCCCGCTTGGTGAAAGGGACCAGTCTCCCGCCCCCTACGCCGGAGGCAATTATGGAGGTGAGCTCAGCATAAGACAAGTGTCAAAAAGCACAACCAGATTAACCATTGCATCGTATCAGGAAACAATATGGAGATGAGCTCAATTACCACTGGAGGCTTACATGGCGGTGACCCGACTGCAATCCTGAACGAGTGTCGAGACATCGACAATGGAATCGAGCAAATCGAAGCAAATCTACGCGAGCTACGAAGACTGCAGGACCGCTGCCTCGCTGAGGCGGATTCATCCGCTAGCTCATCGAGTCGGCAGCTAGACACACTCAACACGGAGACCATGGCCTTGTACCGCACCATAACTGATCGCGTCCGCAAAATCAAGTCGAGCCCTGAGGGCCGCCAGCCTCGAAACCAGGCCCAGGTTGGCCGCGTTGACCGCCGGTTGCGACAAGCAATTCAAGACTATCAGGGCGTCGAATCCTCGTTCCGCAAGAAGATGCAGGAGCAGATGGCCCGCCAGTACCGCATTGTGCGCCCAGATGCGACCGAGGACGAGGTCAAGGCCGCCGTCGAGGACACTACCGGAAACTCGCAGGTTTTCCAGCAGGCATTGATGCAGAACAATCGCGTGGGCGAGGCGAGAGCTGTGCTCAGTGCTGTCCAGGACCGTCACAAGGCTCTGCAGAGGATTGAGCAGCAAATGGTCGAGTTGGCGCAGCTGTTTGAGCAGTTGAACACGTTGATTGTGGAACAGGACGTCAAGATTCAGGCTATTGAGCAGACGAGTGAGGAGGTGGTTGACAATCTCGACAAAGGCAATGAGGAGATCGAAGTGGCTGTCCAGACGGCGCGGGCCACCCGCAAGAAGAAGTGGATGTGCTTGGGTATTTGCGGTAAGTGTTTGCTGATGCGGTGGCGTTCCACCTCGGTGCTTCAGAGAACCGTAACTAATTCCTCTCTCCTTAGTGGCCATTATCGTTGTGATTGTTATCATTGTGGTGGTATATGTTGTCGTCACCCACCCTCCAGGCGGCGGAAATTCATCGGCGCAAAACACGAAGCGTGGTCTTCTGCAACGAAGCTTTACCGATGATCTGCAGATGAACAACGCCCGAGCTATCCAGATTGCCGCTCCCATGGCCGGCCCCATCTCTCGTATCCACAGACAGTCAAACTACGTCGTCCCTGATAGTGCCGACTCGGAGTCTCTTGTTAAGAGGCTCTCACCGGAAGGGTTCGACCGCATGATTTCGCCCTACAAACAAGCACCTGCAGGAGCGACAAACGCGAAACGATTTGTAATCACAGACGAAATCCTCGAGTTTATGGAACAGAATAACGCGGTGGCTTCTCGCGGCCCCCATAGGGCCGGAAAGCGCTTCGTCATCACGGACGAAATTCTGGAAAGTATGAGAGGCGGCCAAGTGGCAGACCATAAAAAGTTTGTTCCGGGTCATCATAACGATGCGAAGGATGGCAAATGATTGCTCTCATTTACCTCAACTATTTGCGATATCAGGTTTTGCAATGTCGGGTTTGGCCATGCGCACGCTTTGCAACCTCGCAATCTATCTTTTGCGCCTTTTCTCCCTTGCATCTCTGGGGATCGACATGAGTTTGTGGAGTTAAGAGGGGGCGGTTTCTTCGTTTCTACTGTCATGTATTTTGCGTTCTCTTCTGCACGCAGGTTGGCCGTTGGATATACAACGGAAGGAATCGGGCGGTCAAGTAAGTGGCCGCTTGAATCATGTGTCTTGCTTCGAAGAGGATCGTAGCGAAGGTTAGGCAGGAGTTGCTGGTAAACTCTGCTCGACCATGCCATATTGTGAAACCTCATACTCGCTTCGGAACCTCGGTGTTTAAACATCAGCCAAGGCATTCATAATGAACAAGATCTTACTTCCAACAGTATCAGATGTTCTCAGAAAATGTCAGTAACCGCCATGTGCCCTACAGTGTTGAACTTCCAGGAAACTCATGTTATCCTAGGACGATAGTGTACGATATGCCAACCGGAAGTAAGTGCAGGGCACCGCTCGACGCTGCATAGCTTGGTACGCCCTTCGGTATCATGTAATAGGAAGGAAGCCCTTTGAAGGTTGGTAGAAAATAATGAGGATGAGACTGCCTGGATTTGTCAAGTGGGCCCCAAGAAAACCAAGCCCGTTAGAGTCCTAGCAGAGGGCCATATACCCCAAGCACCCAAAACCCACAGCCGCCCGGTCCCCCTCCCCCTATGCTCTTCACTCAATCCTGAGCACGTACATCATCACCTTCTCGCACTTCGGCAAGAAGTGTGTCTCGTTTCCCGCTAGCTCCGCCACCACCGTGATTACGTTCGAAGCCTTGGTTGTCCATGGAGGATATACGCCGTTGCCTCTCTGAACCTGCCTCGGCGACCCTCTTTAACACTCCGATACGCCTCTCAAAGTCTTGCAGCAAAGCCGCGTATTCCTCAGGTGCAGGGGATGCCATCGTAGCTTGCTTACCCTTACCCGTCAGAGAAGACTGCAAATCACCTTCTGGAGTGGACGACAATTTCCCGCCGCTGCCCAAACGCGATGACGATAGCAATGATGACGACGACGATGATGGATCGATGGCTATTCCTTCAATTTTGAGCATTGAAGGACCAGTATGTAGACTTGGCGAAGAAGCTGCAAAGACCCCTCCTGCTGCATTGGCACTACCACTGCTGGCTTGATCTTCCATGCGCATCACTTGTGCCGAGACCACTGCCCAGTCGGAAGACAGGCTACTGGCCCATGCCACTTGGAGCCCATTGCCGTTGGAAGAGGGCGCCACATCAAGAATAACGGCGCGATCTCTCGGCTCCTTGTTGTAGAGTCTTTCATCATTGTCCGGACTTGGTGGGGCATCTTGTTCGCTTCTTTCCTGGTGATGATACGCTAGTGCAGCGGTGAGGATGTCGGGGTCGTCGTCAGCAAAGACGTAGTGCACGGTCGGATGATGGATGGTCTGGCGCTGGGAGGAGTGGGTGCTGGAAGATAGAAGGGTGAAGAAGGGAGTGAACGATGGTTGGGACCCACCACCTTCTTCTCCCCCTTCCTCTCCCTTTTGTTGTTGTTGTTGTTGCTGTTGTTGGTCAATTCCCGGTAACGTGTGCTCCTCGACGCTAGGGGGTGGTTGAGGAGACGGGCTATGGGATTGTGCTGACGACAGGCGACGACTTTGAGGTTGAAGCTGGTCTGTCTGTACGTCGTGCTCTCGCCGTAAACTGGAGCGACTCGTCCGACTTGCGACGGATGGTCGGGGACTTGAGGAGGTGAAATAACGTGCGGCAGCGGCAGCGGCAGATCCTGGTCGATTGAAGGATTCTGGCTCGGTCATGTTCACTTTTAAGGTATAGATATGGAGGCGGTGATGCAAGGAGAAGGACGGCGGGATGGCGGTCGTTCGTCGTCGGTACAATGACTGGTTACCTGAGATGGCTCTGGTTGATGTGTGGAGGTTAGGTAATCAAGCAAGAGGCATTGACAGATTAAATGGTACCAGGAATGATTAAGTAGCTGACATACAAGAATTGCAGGAGGTACATTATAGTAATAGGAGAGGAAGAATGGATATCAAATTGGATGTTCAATTTCCTATAAGTGACGGTAGTATATTTTGGTTTATATTATATATGTTTAATTTTAATTAGTATATATCTACTTCTTTACTATTTTATATTTTAGTTACTATATACTTTAATAACTAAATAATATAATATTAAGATTATATTTAGGTATAATTTAAAACACTTAATATATATAAATAGTCTGAATTCTTATAACCTACAACCTTTAAAACCCACCCTACCCTCCAAAAGTTTAAAAAGGAGAAACTTATATTTTTGTAGGATGTGTCCGCTGAAGGTTGTCGTTAGGAGATAATAATAACTTTAATTTCTTTAAGAATAAGTTTATTTGTATAATTAGCAAATAACAGCGCCCTAAGACTAAATAGAAGTACGAACTATTCCAACGCCTTCCTATAGAATATAAAAAGTAGATAAGCGTTAAATATTAAAATTCTTCTATTTCTTTGGATTTTTATTATATTAATTATTCCAATTCTAAACAAATATTGAAGACTATTACTAAGGAAGCTAAAGTTACTTCTTTCTCTTCTTTGTATAATAAAGGAAATAATAGTAGTAAAGAAGCTAGAAGTTTTAGTAGTTTTAATTCTTCCGTATTTAAACCCGCTAGTAATAATAGTAAGAATAACTATTCTATAATAGATTATACTAAGGAAACTACCTATTTATTTAATAAGGGTCGTTACTTTCTTTATAAGGAATACAGTTATACTAAGCGCAATTATTCTTAAAAAAACCAATACGACTGAAAGTATTTCAACCGAATAACCGCTATCGTCGAACGCTGTTTAATTTACAAAAATAGCACCCTGCCTATAGCCCCGGCCGGAGAACCTACTACCACTACTACTAATAATTAAGGAGATTAATTATCTTAAGTAAATTAAACTCCTTCCTAAGGGAAATATGGGTCATAAAATAAATAAAAGATAAATCAAAATATAGAAAGAATATATTCAATTGAATACCCAATTTAGGAGGGGATTTTATATTTATTTGATATACTATAATTAATAATAGAATATATTTATCTACATTTAATGCCCTAATTGATATAGGAAAAAACAGTTACTTATTTATTAGTACTATATTTACTAAATAACCTAAAAGAATATCTATTAATAGAAGCTACGAACAACTTTCCCGCCTGAAGTATTAATAATTACTAAAGAAAGACTAATTAAAGTATTAGAGAAGTTATTAAAGCCACTTTGAAAGTTTAAAATCGAATAATACCCTCCGACTACTTTATTATTATTAATATGAACTATAATATTATTATTAGCCACGAATAGTTCAACCTCTACAACATTTAAGTAAATTATAAGAACTAATAATTAATTTTCCATCCTGAATAGAAACCCGACCCCGAGTAAATAAAGAACTCTAATTTTAAAATTTACCCAGGAAGCTCTAATATAGTAAACCTAAACTACTAAAAGGATTTAGCTTACTATAATATACTTATAGAGCGAAAAAATAGTTAATGGACTAATAATACAAATATTAGTTATTTAGCGCTTAAATTTATGAATAGATGTACGGCTACTCTAAGGCCTATCTTAACAGATTAACCTTTCCCCGATTATTGTGAAAAAGAATTTAATTGAGAAGCTTACAATTAATATTAAAGAGAAGCTCAATAATATTAAAAATAGATCGAGAAATATATTTATAAATTCGAAACTCTTTACCCGCAACCCCTAAAAATAGTTCCTATTATACCAAATAATTATAAATATATTTAAAATAAAAATACTAGCGAGCTGGGTTATACCTATCCCCGTATTCTATTCTAAAACCCTAATACAATTTTCAAACGGACTAACATATTAAATAAATTAGAAAAGAATTTAATTAACCTTATCTACCTTATAGTATTGATTCTAAAACCTATACAACCCATCCGAATTAAACCGATTAAATTTCGAAATAATAAATAGAGCTTTAATAATTAAAGTACTTATAAATGTAAAAAAGATTCAACGGGATAGTATAAGGAGAGACTGATATAAATATATATTTTTAATAGCGACCTCTTTAATTACTTAGCCGCTAAAGACCATTGGATAATATATTCTACGAATATCTTTAAAATCGACCGGTTTATCTAATTTAAATAAGTAAATAAAGACCCCGTATAGGAACCGCTCCCCTAAAACGAAAGAGAATTGAATAAGAAAGCCCTAAGAATTATACTTAATTACTATTATAATTACCTTAATATTTTTAATAAATACAATTCTAATATATTACTGGAATACTAATTTTATAATTATAAAATCGACTTTGAAGAAGGCTATTAATTAAAGGAATTCAATTATAACCCTCTTTATAAAATATCCTTAAACGAACTAGAAATTATAAAGAAGTACATCCTAGAAAGCCTATTAAAAGAATTTATTAAAATAAACTCGTCCCCTTAGGTAGCCTCTATTCTATTTATAAAAAAGGTTAATAAAAGCCTCCGCTTCTACATTAATTACTAAAAACTCAATACTGTTATTAGGAAGGATCGATACTTACTTTCCCTTATTAAAAAAAATGTTAATTAAAGTTACTAAGGCCTAATAGTTTACTAAAATCGATATTTAATAAACTTTTTACTATATCTGTAAAAACTTAAGGATGAAGAATTTACTACCTTCTATACCAGTATAGAAATTTTTAAATATAAAGTACTACCATTTAGGTTAATTAATAAGCTTACTAATTTCCAAAATTTTATTAACACTATATTAAGAGAATATTTAAACAACTTTCATACGGCTTATATTAATAATATTCTTATTTATTCGAATACCTCTAACAAATATAAAGACTACGTCCGAAAGGTATTATCACAGGGCTAGATTACATACCTTGTACCTTGCTATAGCACATGACCAGATCACGTGCTATTAGTGCCGTGCCACGGCACTGGTACTAGCCTGGGCATTAGGGCTTTGCGCGACCTACTCCACTGGGTTACGCAACTCTTATAAGCCCAGGCTAGCGTACACTCTCCTCTTACTTCCTTCGTACAATAACGAATATTGTAACTTACTTATAATAGTACCCTTATTCTATAATAGTTTATTATATCTTTAATTATACTGTACGCGCACAATAGGTAACTATTATCGTAGTTAGTAGGCTAGTAATAAATTAATTAATTAACCCGACGTCTAACCTTTATAGGATTAAGGAAATATGAATAGCTTTAGCGACTATTGTAGCTATTATATAAATTCAACCTCAATTATAATTACCGGCCTAGGCTATTTCAATTACCTTAATAATAATAACGACACCGAATTAATTATTAATAACTATATTAATATTGAGACCGAATTTCGAGCTACTAATACCTATTATTCCCTTCTAGGCAAGGTGCCTATTATTAATTAAGTGACGGCGTCTAATTATAGTATAGCTAACAATCAACCTATTCCTACTAAGTAAAGTTCATAGGCTCCCCCCTCTAACTATTTATTAGGTTTTAACTTTTATAGCCCGGACTTTATATTCCTAGGAACGAGAGTTCTACCCTATACCGATTCTAAAAAGAAAATTATTAATAATAAGATGGTTATATAGGCTTTACGCTTCTATAGTGATAATAATAATCGTAGAATCTTCTAGGCTTATCTCTATAATAGGCTTTAAATTAGCAAATTAATTAATATTTATCCTATTATCTTTCATTAATATATTTCTAATATTGCCCCCCTTCCGGTTTTTAGCGCTATTATTAATACTATTACAGAAGTTTTTAATACTACCCGGGCTAGTTATTATTAAGAAATACTTAGAAAAGAGGCCGACGAACGGGTTTATATTTAAATTTAGAAGAGCTTCTAGAACGATATTATTTATTAGAGGAACGAGGCTAAAGGCTAGTTTAACGAGTTTGAAATTTAAGAAGCCTTTTATACTAATTATAATGTAGAGATAATAAAGTTTTTTAATAATAATGCTATCCTTAAAATCTAAGTCTATTCGCTATAGGATAAGGTTATTAATTTTAAAATAATCAATAACGGCTTTAATACTATAATTAAGGATTTGAATTTTATTAATTCTAATAGTTCGGGTAGCGGTAGCGGCGGAGGTCCTAGTGGCGTTTTTAGCAGCCCCGGCTATATCGAACCTACTAATAGTATAAAGCGCCATATATCTACCAACCCGGCTATTTTTAATGTATTTAGATTAATTGCGAAAGACTACAACGCCATATATGCTATTTAGCGTATTGAAATTCGCTTATATTAGGTATATAATAAGTAGTATTTCCTTGATAAATGTAATAAATTTATATATATCTTCGTCTACTTAGGTAAAATATTTATATTTATTATTAAATTAGATATACAAATAATCTTCGTTAATGAATACCCTGATCTATAGAAATAGAAGATAGCTGAAGAATTTATTAAATATTTCGACGGCCGGTATAATAATATAGATATAAAGGTCGAGGCTAAATGTATCCTATAAAAGCTTTAAATAAAATCTTTATTCTAAAATTTTGTTAATAAATTTATTTTTAATATTAATTGTTATAATATAGGTAATACTATACGTATATTTATACTCCGTTAAAAAGTTACCGATTAGCTTCGGGCCTTAATTATCTACTAATTTAATATTCTTAGTAGTAAAAATTTTTAAAAATGGTTCGAATTCCTTAGTAAATTCGCTAAGCGTTAAGAGGAGGAAGCTTACTAAAAGAAGTTTTTTAACCCAATATTATCTAGCAGTAGTAATTCCGGCGGTAATAATCCAAATAATAATAGAGGAAGTAATTCCGAAAATATGATAATCTTTTAAGGTAGTAATTTTATGGACTTAAATAAGCTTGAAGTTATTAATAAGCGTTTAGTTCCCCAAGTTTTATAGAAGAAACAATAAGAATTAGGCAAAT